CGGACACCCCCGACCCCACAGGCGCCCCGGGGGTGCCCACCCCCGAAGCCAGGGCTGCGGGAGAAGCGGCCCCCACGCGAGCGAGCGTAGGCTGCCCCGACCTGGGATGGGGGCGGAGTCTGGGAGAGACTGGGGACCGGCCTCCCCACGTGCCCGCCGCCCCGACCCCTTGTACGGAAAGGCGACCCCCAATGGGTCTTTAATCCTCCGCACCAGAACGCGATACCAGGTACCTGGACACTAGAGGGCGGATGAGCGAGGCGGGGGGGGGGGGGGGGGGGGGGGGGGGCAGCGACGCCTGGGAGGCAGCCGCCGTACACACTCTCCACCCCGGAGCCGCACCATCGCAGGCCCCACCCACCGCCACTCCCCCCAACCACACGGGGGAGGGGGGGTGAACGGAGCCGTGGGACGCGGCAAGCCCTGTAGCGGGAGCCACCCCGCCAGAGGCGGGGTAAGGTGCCACTGCGGGGAGCCGGTCCCAGACCGGGCCACCAAGGCCGCAGGGGGTGAGGGCGGGGCGGAGGGGAAGGCAAAGGCAGACCAAGAAGGGGAGGACGGCGGCCACACACTGGCGAGGCCGAGCCCCCCCCCCGACCGATGTGCTAGGCGCCCAGTGCGGGAAAGCCAGTGGAGAAGGGGACCGCCACGAGGGCGCGCAGGCAAGGCAAGGCAGGGGCCCGAGGCATGGCGCCCCGCGGTGGCGCAGGACGGGAGAGGAGCGCGGGGACGTGGGGAGCGAGTGCAGAGACAGAGGTGGGCCGACAGGGAAAAGCGGAAGTGGCGGCGGCCCCCAGCAGCTGGGGAATGCGATGCGCCACGTGGGCCCGGACGCGGGAGGGGTTGGCAGAGCAGGGGCAGAGGGAAGCTGGTGATCTGGACAAGGACGTCCGCGGAGGCAGCGGGGGGGGGGGGGGGGGGGCGACACCGCGGCCGGGAGGGCCCGCAGGCCCGCTCGGCAGCAGCGGGACGTAGGGCACGTGCCCATCCGCTCCTGGCCGCCCGGGCCTGGAACCCGGTCCCACCACGGCTACCCGCAGCCGGCGGGTGACACAACCCACCCGCAACATGCCTTAACCCGGGCACCGGCTCGCCCACCCATGGCACGGGCACCGCGGGGATGGCACCACAGACAGCCACACCCACCAGGCCGACGCCAGCCATGCCATCCCAGCCGGCATCTCTACCGCTCCTTCCTCCTCTCTCGTGCCCCCTCGCCAGCTCACCCGTCCGCAGCCGCGGGAAACACCGGGATGGGGGGAAGGTCCTCACCGGCACAGCCGCCCCGGGAATGGGTGGGCCCCTCCTCCCAGGCCGACCCCGACGTGCGAGAGCGACCACACGGGAACAGACAGACAGCCACGACGACGCAGGAAAGACGACGAGGAGGAGGAGCTCCGAGGGACTGCGGCGCCGGCAACCCCAGCAGATCGCGGAAGGCCACCCTCGTGCTGAGCTCACACTGTACGCGCGCACGTGCGTCAGTGCTCTTTCCGTTAATGATCCTTCCTCAGGTTCACCTACGGAAACCTTGTAACGACTTTTACTTCCTCTAGATAGTTAAGTTCGACTGTCTTCTCAGCACTCCGCCAGGGCCGTGGGCCGACTCCGGCGGGGCCAATCTGAGGGCCTCACTAAACCATCCAATCGGTAGTAGCGACGGGCGGTGTGTACAAAGGGCAGGGACTTAATCAACGCAAGCTTATGACCCACACTTACTGGGAATTCCTCGTTCATGGGGAATAATTGCAATCCCCGATCCCCATCACGAATGGGGTTCAACGGGTTACCCGTGCCTGCCGGCGTATGGTAGGCACACGCTGAGCCAGTCAGTGTAGCGCGCGTGCAGCCGTAGACATCTAAGGGCATGACAGACCTGTTATTGCTCAATCTCGGGTGGCTGAACGCCACTTGTGCCTCTAAGAAGTTGGGGGACGCCGACCGCTCGGGGGTCGCATAACTAGTTAGCATGCCAGAGTCTCGTTCGTTATCGGAATTAACCAGACAAATCGCTCCACCAACTAAGAACGGCCATGTACCACCACCCACGGAATCGAGAAAGAGCTATCAATCTGTCAATCCTGTCAGTGTCCGGGCTGGGTGAGGTTTCCCGTGTTGAGTCAAATTAAGCCCCAGGCTCCACTCCTGGTGGTGCCCTTCCGTCAATTCCTTTAAGTTTCAGCTTTGCAACCATACTCCCCCCGGAACCCAAAGACTTTGGTTTCCCAGAAGCTGCCCGGCGGGTCATGGGAATAACGTCGCCACATCGCCAGTCGGCATCGTTTATGGTCGGAACTACGACGGTATCTGATCGTCTTCGAACCTCTGACTTTCGTTCTTAATTAATGAAAACATTCTTGGCAAATGCTTTTGCTCTGGTCCGTCTTGTGCCGGTCCAAGAATATCACCTCTAGCGGCGCAATACGAATGCCCCCGGCCGTCCCTCTTAATCATGGCCTCAGTTCTGAAAACCAACAAAATAGAACCGCGGTCCTATTCCATTATTCCTAGCTGTGGTATCCAGGCAGCTCGGGCCTGCTTTGAACACTCTAATTTTTTCAAAGTAAACGCTTCGGGCCCCGCGGGACACTCAGCTAAGAGCATCGAGGGGACGCCGAGATGCAAGGGGTAGGGACGGGCGGTGACTCGCCTCGGGGCGGACCGCCCGCCCGCTCCCAAGATCCAACTATGAGCTTTTTAACTGCAGCAACTTTAATATATGCTATTGGAGCTGGAATTACCATGGCTGCTGGCACCAGACTTGCCCTCCAATGGATCCTCACGAAAGGATTTAAAGTGGACTCATTCCAATTACAGGGCCTCGAAAGAGTCCTGTATTGTTATTTTTTATCACTACCTCCCCGGGTCGGGAGTGGGTAATTTGCGCGCCTGCTACCTTCCTAGGATGTGGTAGCTGTTTCTCAGGCTCCCTCTCCGGAATCGAACCCTGATTCCCCGTCACCCGTGGTCACCATGGTAGGCACGGCGACTACCATCGAAAGTTGATAGGGCAGACGTTCGAATGGGTCGTCGCCGCCACGGGGGGCGTGCGATCGGCCAGAGGATATCTAGAGTCACCAAAGCCGCCGTCGCCCGCCCCCCGGCCGGAGCCGGGAGGGAGCTTACCAGGTTGGTTTTGATCTGATAAATGCATGCATCCCCCCCCCCCCGGGAGGGGGTGAGCACCCGTCGGCATGTATTAGCTCTAGAATTACCACAGTTATCCAAGTAGGAGAGGAGTGAGCGACCAAAGGAACCATAACTGATTTAATGAGCCATTCGCAGTTTCACTGTATCGGCAGTGCATACTTAGATATGCATGGCTTAATCTTTGAGACAAGCATATGCTACTGGCAGGATCAACCAGGTAGGGAAGCGCGGGCAAGCCCGGAGGGCCCTGGAACCTCCCCCGCTCCTCCTCCTCCCTCCGGAGAGGGGGGGCGGGTGGGGTGGGGAAGCGGGGGTACAGAGGACACCGGGGATGGCGAGCGCGCTGGAACGTGCCACCAGGTGGCCGACCGCCGGCACGTGGCAAATCTGGCCGAGCGAGGGGAGAGAGAGAGCGACACCGGCGAGCGACAACGGGGGGCTCTCCTCCTCACCTCCTCTGACGCCCATCGTCGCGGGCCAACAGAACGGCGCGCCCAGGCGGCACGGCCGCACGGTGCCCACACACCGCGAACCCGACCCCACAACCCCCCCACCTCTTTCCCGACGGGGGGGGGGCAGAAGGAGCGGAGAGGGAACACAGGCAAAACAGGGCATCCATCTGTCTCTCCACGGGGACCAGATGTAAACGAGCGTGAGCGAGGAGAGGGCAGAACCCAAACCCTCCCTCCCGGCCAGCGGGCAATGGCGAGGAGAAGACGGGGAGCCAACGAGGGGGAGCGAGGGCGGCGAGGCGGATCCCGGGTCACCGCACACCAGAACGACCGGGCAGGCCTGACCGGCCCGAGAGCACACACGAGGGTGGGCGCAGAGCGGGCGCGGGAAGGGAGGGAGTCGCGGACCTTGATTCGGGAGACCGATGCCACCGACCAGCGAACGCCGGCAGCGACCGGGAAGACCGACACGGGTGGGCCAAGCCGGCCACCAACTAGACCCAACTGCCACCATCCAGGACGGCGGCGCGGGCACATGGGCGCAAGCAGGCAACCGCGCGGTGACGAGCAGTGAGAGGAAGAGCACGGAGAGGGCAGAGGAACCCGTGGCCAGTGGGGGAAGGGCACCGCACCGCACCCAAACGCGAGGGCACCACATCACCGACACCCCGCCTGCTGGCCCGGCGGGCACAGGAGCGGCAGCGCGCACACACGGATGGGGAGGAGTGCAAGGCCCCTTCTCCGCCCAGAGGCGGTGCACCGAAGTCCACTGTCCAGCCGGCCAGCCGGCCGGGTCGCGTGTGGCGCACACCCGAGCGGCCATAAAGCCAGGGGCGACACAACGCAACGCACACCACATGGCCACGGGGTTTTTCTCCACCTCCCTCAGAAGCCGGCACGAATTCACTTGCTCGCACGGATGCGGGGGCCGAGCACACAACGACCCTCGCCACCGCGGACTGGCTGTGCCGGCAGGGGGTCGGGGGTCTGCGGCGACGACCCATCGGCGACAGGTCACCGGCCAATGACTGCAGCCGAAGGCGGTGGCAGGGACCCCGGGAGGTGGGCGACACCAAACACAACGCACGCGAGCACACTCACACGCAGACACCGCCGGCACAGAGCAGACAGGGCCAGGCATGGAAACCAGGGTTGCGCCGGGCACGCGGCGGAGACACACCAAGAGAGAGCACAACACCCCGGATCCGGGACAGGGGCGGGGACGAAGCCACATGGCTCGAGACGGAAGAGACGATGAGGGCAAGCCTACGCAGGGCGAAGCAGGAGGGAGGCGCTGGAACCCGGGACAACCGCGCAGGCACGCGAGGCGGCACCCAGCGGGAGGAGGCACGTGATGCCGGCTTCGGGCCCTTGGATGGCCAACTCCCGAGCGAGGGACGCACGCGGGAATCTCACCACCATCGCCCCCGTGGCGTACCGGTAGTCCCGCTGGCAGGAGCCCTCACGTCATGAGCAAAACCGATCTGGGAAGACCCTTCAAAAGCCACCGCCGCCGCTACGACGTGCCTCCCCCACACCGGGAGAGCAGCCTCACGAGCTGAGCGCTGTCTCCCCCCCCAAGAGAACACCACACAACGCCCAACTCGACCGTCCGCCGGTGGCCGGCCACCAGGCCAAACCTGTGAGGATAGCGGAAGGCTGATGCGGGTGAGGAGGGCATGCCGGAAGCACAACAAGAAGAGCAGTGGGAGGGTCACCGGGTCGGGTCACTGGGGTGAGAGGCAAGTGAGCAAGTGGCCAACCCCTCACACGGGTGAGTGGCGCAGCCGCAGACCAACGGGGAGGTGAGACCTTTCTGGGCACAGCCGGCACGCCAGGTAAACGAACGCGGGATCTCACCACTCCCAACTCCGGGGCGGACCTGCGCAATGCCTGGGACACCGAGCCGGCCGACCAGCGGACCGGAAACCCCCACCGTGGCAGTGGCAGGCCCCCCCAAAAGAGGCCCGAGAGGGAACAGGCAGCTCGCACACAACTCAAAGACCCCGTGAACGCCGCGAAGCCGCCTGCGCCAGCAGGGCCCCACCACATCCATCCACACTGCCGGGCACAGCACCCATCATCGACCGCCTCTTTTTCGGCCGCGTGAGCAAGGGCCCACACACACCGGGATCCTCGGCTCCGGAGGGCCAGAACCCCCCTGAGCGGCACACCACCACGGGCACAGCGGCCCCGGAACACCGCGGGGCCCAGCGCCCGCACAGCACCATCATCACCAACGGGCGGCGGCCCACACAGACGCTCGGGAACAGCGTTGCCAGGAGCCGGAGGGGGAGGGGGACGAGACCCCCAAAAACCCCACGGCACACCAAGCACGAGGTCCGGAAGCCACACACCACACGTCCTCGCATTGTGACCCGGCATGGGCTCCAGGCTCCGCCACTCGACACACCGCACGCAAGGCAGGGGCGGGGACGTATCGGGAACGTCCTCCACTCACCACACCAGAGGACGGCCAGGGAGAGGCCTCGCGGGACCCTCCCCCAGCTCGGAGGGGGGAGGCGCAGGAAAGCAGTTACTGACATGGGCAGCCACTAACGCTCAAAAGCGGGACAGGGAGCGGCAGGGCCGTGGGAGCCCATCGGGTGCGGGCCCCCACCAACCCAGCAGCGCACGCCGCTTCCCGAACGAGGATCGCTAGAGAACCTCTCCTCACTCTGAGGGTGGCCCGCACCCAACCCCGACGGGAACCCCGCCGGGACCAGCACACATCAGAGGCGTCCATCCTTCCCACCACGGGGGCAGGGAGGGGTGGGGCAGGGGGGTTCTGCGGCAGCAGCAACACCAACCCTGGTCAGTCGGCCTTGCCGTGCGGGGCCAGAGCAAAGTCGCGCACACGGGAGGAAAACCCGCACAGGCCCGGCTCACCTCCCACTGCAACATCTAAGGTCCCCCGGTGCAATAAAAGCCAGGTGACATGGCAGGGAAGACAAGCCAGGACCAGGGCGGCAGCTCATGCTGGGAAGCCACCACCCAGCGCAACAAGGGAAGAGCGCTCCTCTGGGGAACCGCCTCGACGCCCCCAGCAGAGATGTCAACCTCAACGGTAACTTCTCACTCACACAAGCCCCACGAACCCAAGGATGGCCGGGACACACCACGGGCAGCAGGGTGGCACAAGGCAGCGGACAATGCCAGGATCGGGAACGACACAGCCACTCAGCCTCAGGCACCTGAGAGGACCGACCGGGAGCGTTCCGGGAGCACCGCAAGAGGGCAGAGCACTAGGCGCGGCTTTTCACACCACACAGCATGGGCAAGCACGGAGCACCGACCCTCCCTCTCTGTGGAGAGAGCCAACCCCCGTGCCGATAACGAGTCACGGGAAGAGAGGAGCCAGATCAGGGCGACCTCCTCCTCCAGCGTGTACAAGTCCCCGACCTCCCGGCGAGGGCAGGGAGAGCGCAGCCGGACCCGGTTGCCACACCCCTGCCTCCCCGCATACCACCGGCGCCGGCACGGTGGGACGGTGAGGGCAGGGGTCCACGGACAGAACGAGAAGAGCGTTCCCATTCACCATAAATGTCCGTCCCTTGCCTGGCCCAGCTTAGGCCCGGGCCCGAAGGAGATCGCAACATCACCACATCAATCACACCGAGGGGGTGGAGAAGACAGCCACACGGCACTCGGGAGGCGGTGGCCCAGGAAGCTCGGCTCCTGAGAGGGGCCAACAGCCTGGGATAAAAGCGTAGCAGGACAGACACCCTTTCGTGAGTAACGAGCGAAGTAAAAAGAAAAAAGAAAAAAAAACGAAAAAAAGAAATGAAAAAATACCACGGGCTTAAACCTCCCTGGCACTCGGGATAACCAGGACACCTCTGCCGGGCACAGGACCGAAGAAGCTAGAAAGGGAGAAAAGAAAAAAAAGAAAAGAAAAGCCACGGACAGCGCTTGGGAGTAGCGCAGCTCAGCGGCCGACCAGGCGGCGGAGAAGGACCTAGAACAGGTGATGCCAGGGGAAGACAGACCGGTGGAAAGACAGACCGACTGACCGACCGACCGACCAACGGCACGGCACGTGTTTTCCCTCCTATGTGGATGCTAGACCTAAACTATAACTGGACATGGTAAGCTACACAGCACTCCGGGCAAACAGAGTGTGTGTGCCCCCATGTGTGTGACACACATACTGTCCTTTTGTCAGAAGGTGTAACTTCTCTGAGCATTTAAGATATTGCAGAGAAGACATAAGATGTAATATCCATAAGTGGCATGACTGTGAAGGTATTATAACAACCGGACATGTTAGGATTAAAGCTGGAATTAGGAGGACAGAAACGTACCTGTCCTAACGCTTTTGGTCATTATTACAAGTATATTTGGTTTAGGATCTTTCAAAACACATTGATTTATCCTTCTGGACACGATGGTCTATGACCACACTAGTAAATAGCCACTTCAAAGCCAGATCATCGGTTGGATACGTTTCAATTGGTTTATATTGCATCCTCCAATATTTTTTTCTTCTTTTTATTCTATCTTCTCACTAAAGATCCAGTGGTATAAAGCTACTTTTATTCTCTTAATATTCCATAACTGAAGTGATCTGCTTTGTTTTGCAGCTTTCTCAGCTTAATTCACTGAGGCCTATTTAGTCACGCATGATGAGAGGTCCAGAAACATCTTTGGGGCCACGGATGGCTTTTGTAAAGTCCATTTGGGGAAATAGCAAATATAATCTACCATGTCCTAAAATGTAACAGATTATCTCTATGGGACCGATAGAAATATCCAGATGTGCCCTGTCAACAGCCAGTTATTTTAATTTACTTAAGGGAAATCAAGTGAATAAAAGTCTATATAGTTCAAGAAATTTTATTCTGATACCTATATAAAAAGTTTACCTGACTAGGTGAGGACATTGGTTTATATTGCAAGTGATTCTAGAGAAGACAGAGAAAAGAGAATAGAGGGGGATTGACCCTTGCTGTTGGGTGTGGGGTGGGGTGGAGAAAATAAGGGAATAAGAAGGCCACAGATTGGATTATTAGAGTGAAAAACCGTGGTGAAAATGGAATGGGAAGCAAGTTTACTCACTAATCATGTAATCATTGTCCTAGTTCTCCAGACAGGTTGCAATCTTTTCAGTACTGGTGCTCCAGCCACTCTAGAAAGCATACATGTAAGCTGCCACTGGCGCTAGACTTTCCGTACTAATTGTAGTCTTGCGCGTCTTTTCACAACCCAGCTTCTCAATGCCATAATAACAGATAACTGGGGAGCCACATTAAAAAAATAGACTTCCATGGGCTGGGAAGGTGGCTCATTGGTAGAGCTCTTGCCTTGCATGCCTGAGGCATGCTAGAGGGTCCTCTGGGAGCGTGCACATGCTAGGTTGTTCTGTCAGACTCCCTTCTCAGATAATGATTAGGAGAGTCACAATTAGGTTTGCTTCAAATAAAACCTAAAAGGAAATAAGTTCCATGCATGTATTATAATGAAAGGACTTGAAAAACAATTAGTATTGACCTGTTTTCTGTATGTTAAAGGCTGCTTGGATAGGTGAGGCGAACTAATGTAGGAGAAGTCAGGGTGATAGGGTTAGAATGGGGTACAGAGAAAAATGAAAAGTAGTGAAAGTAATTTTCATGATAGCGAGTACATATGAACAGACATTCCATGCTAATAAGTAGGTGATGAATGGTTGAATTAATTCAGATCATTCATGTGACTTTAGGAATATCAAGGTATAGAGATGAATATGGTTCTGGGGGTAATAATTTTCAGCATTATCAGAGATTAAGGCTTTGCAGGTAATGAGTGTAGTTATTTTACACTGCAAGAATAATACCAAACCCACAACAGCTTCACAGGCTATCAATGTGAGAATATTATTAGGCAATGTAAAACACGGAGTAAAATGTGTGTTCAAGATTATTACAGTGAGCCAGGAGCTGGTGGCTCATGCCTGTAATACAAGCTACTCAGGAGCCTGAGATCTGAGGATCGTTGTTCAAACCAGCCCTGGCAGGAAAGTCAGTGAGACTCTTGATCTCCAATAAACCACTAGAAAACCGGAAGTGGTGCTGTGGCTCAAGCGGTAGAGTGCTCACGTTGAGCTGAAGAGCACAAGGACAGTGCCTAAGCACAGAGTTCAAGCCCCAGGACCAAAAAAAAAATTTTTTTTAAAGTACGCTATCATAAATAATGATGATATTATACTGTCAAAGCAGAGAGGAAGAATGTGAGACCGGAAACATCAGAGCTCAGCATGCAGAGTAGCTACCATTACAGGTATGAAACACTAATGCCCAGCTTAATAAGGAATTTGTTATTATAGAAATACTTAAGTAATTGTACAAAGAATTTCAATTCAACATATCAGTTTGTGAGTGCAATGTGTCATTACATTTACAAATAGTATTTTATGAAGTTGATGTACAAAGGGTTTTCATGTCCATACTTTAGATCATGAGTGCAATGCATGTGATAGATGTCACCCGTTTTATCATTCTTGTCATCCCTTCCCCAGCCCCCATCACCTGTTTGTCTAGTTCCATTTTCACACATTTACATTGACTATCATGGCTGCATTCATCTACCTTTCCTTTCTTCACTGGTCTACCCCACTTTCCTTGACATTATCCTTCCACCCTTGTCATGCTATTCAGGTGTTCAAAGGAGTTACACCATTGGAATCCTTCCTGAATATACTATACTATAGTTCATGCTTTTGTGCAGGGTCCTGTTTTCCTTAGAAACAGCTATTATTCCAAGATCCATGACTTAGTGTGGGGTCAGGGTCAACATTTCACTAGTATGTTTCCCTAGGTGGTCAGATTTCTACCCAAGATAGAAGTCCTGTGGGTTTTGTTGTTGTTGTTCTTGTTTCCCCAAATCCTTGCATTTTCTTTTTATTTATTTCTTGCTCTTTCTTTTTCTTTTTCTTTTGTCATTCATGGAAAAACACTCTGGGCCTGGACCCTGTCCCTGAGAATTTCAGTTCAAGGTTACCGCTGTACCACTTGAACCACACTGCCATTTCCAGTTTTCTGAGTGGTTTATTGGAGACAAAAGTCTCACGGACTTTCCTGCAGGGGCTGGCTTTGAAGCATGATCCTCAGATTGCAACATCCTGAGTAGTTAGGATTACAGGCAGGAGCCACCGATGACCAGCTCTTTGTGTGTGTGTGTGTGTGTGTGTGTGTGTGTGTGTGTGTGTGTGTATGTGTATGTGTGTGTGCCCCAGTCCTGAGAATTGAATACTGACACTTGAATTCAGGGCCTGTGTTGTCTTTGAGCTTCTTTTTTTTTTGCACTCTGCCACTGGAGCCACAGCTCCACTTCTGGATTTTTTTGGGCAAGTTACTGGAGATGAGTATCACAGATTTCCTGCCTAGGCTGGCTTTCACCCTTATTTTTCACATCTCAGCATCTCAAACACAAAGATGGAACTTTAATAATAGCAAGCTATCATGTGACAGATACCAATATATTAGGTTTGCTAGACAGACTACTGAGTTCTCAATATCTCTAATGTGAGTTCAGACCTCCAAAACAGCAAGCAATAAACCATCATGACTGTCTCTGGGAATATACAATTTTTAAAAATATTCGATCACCAGCTGGGTGCCAGTTACTCACATCTGTAATCATCGATACTCATGAAGCTGAGATCTGAGGATTGCAGTTTTAAGCCAACCTGGGTAGGAGTCACTTATCTACAATAAGCTACTCAGAAAAAACTGTGTAGTGGCTCAAGTGCTTCAATGTGGCTCAAGTGGTAGAGTGCTACCCTTGAGCACAAACAGGCTCAGGGACAGTGCCTAGGCTCAGAATTCAAGACTTGGGACTGGAAAAACATTCTTCCCAGAGCCCCCACAAATAACAAATAGCTTCCTTTTTAACGAAGGCTTACATTAACTATATTTATTCTCTGTACAATAGCAAATGCCACCTTATATTCATAAATCAAGACTTGCTTCAAAAATTCTATTTTGTAAAAATAGAAAAATGACAAATTCATAAATCAAAAGTGGCTTACGTTAAATAAAGAAGTTTCCAGTTAAAGGAAGAACAGTCCTGGAGCTCAGAATTCAGGGCTCAGCAGGAGACTTGCTCCCACAGACCTAGGACTCACCTGACCTGTGGCTTCTCATATCCAGGAAGTCCAGAAGGATGTTGTAAATGATCATGAGGTTCATTAGGAATGTTACCAGGTAGGGAATAGTGCACTTGATTAAAGTCAGTAGAATTGGATGGGGTGATAAGCCGGGCTCAGGGCTCCTTCCCTGACCTGAGAGTCACCTCGGTGTGGTGTGACTGACATAAATGGTCAAATGTAAGCTGTCTCTAGTAAATCAGAAATCTTGATAAAAATCATTTATCAGAAGTGCAGGTAAGGGAACTAGGATATTTTTCTATCAGTGCAGGACAGAAGCAATGGTGTTTTTTAAACATTTATTATTATTATTGTTATTGTTATCTTTAGGTGGTTGTACAAAGAAGTTTCCATTCTACAAGACAGTATATAAATACAAGTTGTCTGACAACATTGTCACTCATCCCTCCTAGCAATGGTGTTTTGAACAAAAAAAAAATAATGAGTCAGCAGTGGTAGAATGCTTGCCTTGCA